CAGCTTAGTGATATTGTCACTGGGTACTCCTGCTAGCATGGCAATGCAATAGTCACTCAGATATGCTATAAGGAAATTTATCCAATGATTCCAATACACAATAAATACACAACAATACACTCAAAATATAAAATGGAAACAAAAATTGAGACTTCTGATGTTTTCATTTCTTACAGCCTCAGCCACCGTTGTCCCATGTTTGACCACACTCATCTCTACCTACGGGGGAGACAATGAAAAAGGCACCATCATGGGCATCTTTAGGTCTCTGGGGGCTTTAGCCAGAGCTTTTGGACCATTCTGGGCTTCTGCTGGTAAATTCTATTTATAAAAAATATTTTGTCTTAAATAGCATTTATAGATAATTATGAAATATTTTAACAAAAACATTTTCTTTTCTAGCAATTTTTCAAGATAAAATTTAATTACTAATTATTCTACTTCATACAATCTTGTTTTTCCTCTTCAGTCTATTGGAGTTTTGGTCCAAATGCCTGCTATATTCAAGGTGCTTTGATCCTTCTTCTGCCCATGTACCAGATTTATAAGCAAGTGAAGGCCGAATCTAAAAGATCTACATTTATGTGAATGTGTTGCCTGTATGGCACACCGAATAATGTTGTTGGGTGAATGAACTCTTGTTATCATCTATGCAAACTGTTACTATCTACTTGTTGAATTGATTCATTCATTATATTTGTATAACTTCCCATGTATGTAGATATTTTCTCCAATTATTTTATGCAATTATGTCAAAGCAAAACTAATTTTTTTTAGACATTTTTTTTTTCTGGTAATCAAAAAAATATTTTATTTTGAAGTACGCTAGTCATTAATCTTTTTTTTTTTTTTTTTAACTTTACAGGATAAATGATTTTCTTGTATCTTTTCAGAATATATTCTTTGATTTGTTGCATTTGTCAAATGCATGTTGAAACCACAATATATACCCTTTATTTTTCTCTGACATTTATACACATTTTGTTTTTCTTGAAGTTTACAAAAATGTTTTTTTTACAATTGTTTCTCAAATACTTTGTTTCAGCCATTGAATATTTTGTTTTTTCATTCATGTAATGTTGTTTTAAAACATTTTCTGTGATGATGTCAGCCTTGAGTTTGATGAGGTGATAGCTTAGAGTTTCATGACTAATTCTTCCAATGTGATGCTTGGACATTTGTTGTTTTTTTTTAGTTCTAAGTACAGTAAAGCAGTGACTAAGTTGTTGTTTCATAAAGTCCTTTTTTTTTCTCTTTTGTTTTATAATGGAGCATCTATTTAAGAAGAACACTCTGGACTTGAGTGCCAGTCTATTGTGTTTTAAAGTTACAATAATGTACTCATTCTAGTTGTTTTTCACATTTTAGTTCATTATAGAGTCAATTTTGTGGGATTATTGCAAGTTTTACAAGTATTTAGAATGTCTTCTAAATTGTCTGTATTAATCCAATCATGCTTGGGTTATTGATTTGTAGTTTTTCTGTTTAACAAAATCGTGTCATTGTATAAAATAAGCGCCTAGCCTTTCAAGGTTTTTATTAAATTCATATTCTTCTGTAATTTTTTGTAGAAGTAGACATAAGACAACCTGCAAATCTCACTTCTCTGAATAATAAACTGACTACTAAATGCATGAGGCGTAGGATGTAATCATCTTCTTTTTTAAAGTTACGTCTGTATTATGTAAGATAAGAAGGTAAGAAGACTTGCTCACCCTGATTGTGCTATTTAACCTCAGAGTTGTTGTTTTTCCCCAGATCTAGTAAGTCAGTACATCTTTAATTATTGGGAAGCATTGTGCTTATTTTTGTATGTAAGTTTGTTCTTTCTCGTGATGCAGAAGTATCTACTAAAGCTGTGCAGAAGACTTGAAATTTAATCAAGTGAGTTTCATAAGTTTTCTACAATGTTCTTTCTGACTGCATCTACCCTTTCTTTTGATTAACCATCAAGGTATTCAGTGTTCTTAAACTTTCTCAAGTAATTTACCAGTGAGATATTATGAGATTCTCAACATATCCAACTCTATGCATAGTGTACAATATAGACTTGAAGGTCACAACCTCTCAAACAGATGGATGATACAACCAGAAATGTAGGTATTTGGAACTCTTCAAACTTTGAGCTGAAACATTACTAAACTCTTTGCACAAAATTTGACAGGGTCCTTCAATAAACTTGTCCTTGCACCAGACAGTTTCTATTTGAATCACTTTGATGGTTTTAAAAGATTACAGAGTGTTGACATTAACATGGAGTAGCAAAGTGTTGTTCTGTATGTCAAGTGTGAAACTGCACACATTAAAATAGAAATGACTTTAATGCATGCAACTACAGGACAATGTTCTATACAAAACACATTGCGACATCTGTTCTTTTTATTGTTAATTGTGCAAGTGTTTTTCGTTGTTCCAAAAAAATGTTTTAGTGATCAAATATTTTTTGTTTTGTTTGACTGGATTATTTACTGATATCGAACAGTGTAGAAAAAGTCTGGTTTAGGTAATTTAGTGGAGTGTTTTAGGAGTTGAAATCAAGTTCTTTATAAAAGTTAACTAGCACATCATTTAGTACAGAGGCTTTGTTTACCAACAATTATTTTCTTATAAATTAAAAAAAAAAAAAAACGACAACATTCATTTAGAAAAACATTGTTAATTATGCATGAAATAGATGAAAGATAATAGAAATAACTTGGAGACATTTAATACTTAATTTCTTGACATATCTACATTGTTACAAATTGATGCTTTATGATAGAGTTGTCTTTTTGAATGACAAGTTTGGTGACTCAGCAGATTGACAAGAGAGTAACTACAAACATCAAGAATGAATGAAGTGGAAATTCTTCTCGTATTGCTTCATGAGTTTTGTAACTCAAGTTATTTATTCATTTCTTAACTCTTTCTCTCCTAACCGACGATACAAATGTTGACTCCATCAGAATGTGGTAAATAATTACGGAGAGAAAGAGTTAAATGAACTTGCGACAATTTGAAATTTCTTAAAAGACATTAAACTCTTCATTAGTCTGGCAGATTTAGCTACACTCATACACTCTTTGACTTATAAAAGTTTAATTGTACCCTTGTCATTAATATCTATATTTATTTTGTACAAATTTCTTTTTGTCATTTCATTTGTAGTTATCCTTATAGTGCCAACGAATATTCTTGTTTTCTTTTTTTTACTGAGCTTGTATTTTTATGGAAACATCTATTTGTTTGGTTTCCATTCTTCTGTGAAATGAAAGCTGTAAATCAAAGTTTGTGGGGTTTTGTATTGTTATGCTTATGTTTTATTAATAACAAAACATATCGTGTGTTTTAAAAAAAAAAAAATTCTTGTTGAAATATTTTGTAAAACAACTTTATTACTTCTGTGCTCTAATATTGTACACATTGAGATTCAAAGCATAAATATATATTTTTTTTTATAATCTTAGATGGCTTTTATGTTTGGGGAAGCAACTGTTTTCCCATTCAGAACCTTGTACTTCAGACTTACTCTTGCTTATATCTAGGTCTCTCACAGCTATCTGGGAGTCATGTCAAATGTAAACGTTTAATTTTTTTAACATTTCAAAAGTCGTAAAGTTATAAATAGTAGTTAACAAAAAAGCAGCAAGTATATTGCTCATTATTTTATTTTGATGCTAAAACTGTAGAAACAAAAAAAGTGTTGTTTTTTTTTCCCCATAATTCATTTATAGTGCATTGTTCTAGAGATTTTAATAATAGTGATAAGCAATTTTTAGCAGCAATTTTCTATGTTTAAATTGACAAGTATTTTTATATTACCAGTCTGTATAGTTGATGTGTTGTTGACATCAAGTTCAACTAACCTTATCTAAAGTCTCAAACTAATGACACAACTATTCTGACATTTTATGATAACTCAAATATTTATTTCTTATCATAGTTGAAGAGCATAATGTGAACACACTGGTTGTGCATTCCCTTGACCCCCCCAGGTCAATATGTTGTTATGATTTGTTGTTGTTGATTTATAGCCCTTTATTTTTCATTCATTTTTAGCATTTAATTGATCAAAGTAGAGACCTGTACTTTAGTTAATATGTTAATTATGTTGTCTTTTTTTTTTTTTTGATCTTGTTTTTGGCTTAAAATTTATTTCATTCATATGGTTAGTTTGGTTTATGAATGACATAATTAGTAAAACCAGTTTCTATTAATGTAATTTTTTGTAAAAAATGAAAAATACCAAATACACGTTTTTTTTTATTGTTTTACAATTTAGGAATACCATCTTAGTGTATAGCAAGGCGCAGTTTTGTTATATAACAGACTCTGCTTGACCGTGTGCTATGTCTGTTGTCTTTATATTCTGTTCTTAAACCCAGCCTGCCATCTTAGTGTATAGCAAGGTGCATTTTGCGTTATATAACATACTCTGCCTGATCATGTGCTATGTGCTTTATCTGCCCTCTTGGTGTCCCGGGTTCGATCCCAGCATGTATACATTCCCCTTCCCTCGCCCTGCGGGAAGCTTGGGTTAGGAATGGAATCATCTTCAATTCTGAAAGAGTATCCAAAACATGTGAAACCAAAACAAAAAAAGATCTTTGAAATGAACAATTTTTTTAGTAAAGAATTTTTGTTGCTGTTGTTGTATGTTTTAACTTTAATGATCTCATTTTATCTTTTGACTAGAAAATGGAAGGAGTAGTTTTTTAGTTTGAAATTTATTCTTTATAAACACTTCTCTTGGTCTAAACACAGCCAAATATATAAATTATGTATATGTACAGTTGTGTCCCCTTATTTAATATGGCATTAGTAAACTTAGAATGTCAGATTGTCATGATTATTAGTGCTTGATTCCAAAACCTGGATCTTTCAGCCTACTTGGATCTTTCAGGTTCTTTAGAACTATTTTATTCCTTATTGTGACGGTTAGTGTTAGCTATTTATTTTTCATTTTGACTACACAAAAAATTAATTTATTTTCCATTTTGGCTACGCATAAGTTAATTTATTTTCCATTTTGACTACACAAAAAAATTAATTTATTTTCCATTTTGACTACACAAAAAATTAATTTATTTTCCATTTTGACTACACAAAAAAATTATTGTAACTATCACAATGATATGCTGAGATATTTTTATTTCCTTTTTGTTTCTAATAAAAGAGCTTAGTCACTCAAAGAAAACCAAAGTAAAACAAACCAATTGAAATGTAATTATTTTTGGTCACATTTACCAAACATTCGTCTATGTCCATGTAATGAAAGCTTTTTCTGGTTGTATGTTTTTAGGGAAAGTAAATTAGTGTGAGAGGCTTGTCTTTAAAACATTGATTTGAATGCCAGTTTGGACAAAGTTTTGCTGTAATCTTTTTTTTTTTTTCTCTTGTATTTGTTATCTCTTTAGGCAACTTTTTGAAGTACACATCTTAAGAACACCTGGTCATTGTGCTGGCCACACACTTTCATCTGGCCAGTGAAGTTAAAAAAGAAACATTGCTTCCACTCTTTTGATTCTACTATTAATATTTATTTATATAAAACTATACACTATATATATTAAAAATAACATTTTTTGTTACATTCTGCAGGAAGTCGACAAAACTTAAAAAAACAAAACATCTTCATGTCTTTTAAAAATTTGCAATGAAAGGTCACAATAACCTTTAACTATATATATTTTTTTTTATTTTTTATTCTAATCAACTTCATAAATTAATTCTATTATGCCCCCACCATCCCAGCCCCACCTTCCTTGCTTGTTGCATGCACAGTTTCAAAGGTCTCATCATTTTCTTTCTTTTGTCACCACACTTGTGTTTTAAAGTTGACCTTATGGCCTTTCAACACATTGACTTGTTGACCAAGTGACCTTTCAGAAATAAAAGTTTTAATTAAATGTAACAAATACTTTCTTTTGTGTTGTATTCTTGGTGTTTGAGAGTATTTACTTAACAGTTTGATTTTCATGCAAAGTTATAATACTTAGAGTTAGATAGAATTTAAAACTTGGAACTTCTGACACTTGTTAAAATGCAAACTAAATAGGGACAAAAATAACTAGCAAAACACGAGAAGGGAAAAACCCAATTCGCTAAGATCAATGCTCACTATGCCCACGTATGAAAATGGCATTTAAAAAAAAACCAAACTTATTTATATACACTTAATTTAAGTACCTGGTGACCTAGCCTCGCTCGGTTGAATGATTTTTAAATTAAAGTTAATATTGACACGAACTCATTTTGGATACATTTTTGTAATGTCGAAATCTATAGACCTACTATCAATACTGGAATTCGCAAGAACAGCAATTTTGTAATGCGGTCTTGCCACCATATGTCGATAATGGAGCGCAAACATCTTTTCGTTATAGACAGACCATAACTAAGACTAAGACTGCTTTATTGATCCTTATGGAAATTTGTTGTGATTACAAGGACTCTTTTCTCATACCGCTCTGTTCTTGTCTTGATTGACAGTAGTCGCCCACTTCGCGACGACTTGACGTAGTTATGATGGAGCGGGTGACTTTTCCTCAATCGGGGGGGGGGGGGGGGGGGGCGGGGCACTAAACAGGGTATTTACAAGTTAAAAATTACACTGAGATTCATAAATAATCGTCACGTTCAATTAGTGTTTTAAGAAAGCACGAAAAAAAAAAAGATTTCTATTGCTCTTTCCAGCTCTACTCTCACATTTTGATCTACCTCTATTTTATTTTCGCTCTTGCAAATAAATTCGAGCATTGTGGGAAGCGTGGTCGAGAGGCTAAGTACGCTTGAACTTGGCTTATGTCTTGTCTTGAAGGGGACACCCGACCCGAGCAGAGTTGTGTTTACTGAGCGCCTAAAGGCAGCACGGATAAACCTTCTCCCCCCCCCCCCCCCCCAACTGGTACACAAATGAGATTGGATCATAGCGCTTTGAGCATGCTACACTAATGTAGATTGATTTATTAGGGAAGGAAAAAAATGAAATAAAATTTTCCCAGGTCTGTTATTGTGTTTTGTATGATTTACACATGATATTGTTTACACTTTAATTGCGGAGAGCCGTGTAGGTGGCTTTTACTTGACAAGGCTTATATAGCCTACATTAGACGGCGCGCAAATGTTTCATTCAAACTTGCTCATGTTTGCAAATAAATGTTTTAGTGTAGGCCTAGTCATGTAAGCGGTGTCAATTTTTTTTCGAAACACTGTCATTTGTAAAATGTTTTACTTATTTCGGATGTTATCCCTGGTCTATTAGACCATGAGATCATAAAAAGACAGTCAGATAAAAGCAGTAGCCAATACAAAACCCAAAAGAAAAATCTTACTCTGGAATAAATGTAACCTAACACAACTACACCAAGCTGCATTAAACTTTCAACAAACATTCTTATTAGAAAAAGACATTAACCAACCAGTCGATGACCTCTGGAATTTCATCAAAAACCATCTTAAAAGCATTATAGAAAATCATATACCAACTAAATACACATCAAACAAAATAAATAAATGCTGGTTTAATAATAGACTAAAGAAGCTTTGTAAACAGAAGGAAAACCTATATAAATTTAAAGAAACCAAGGCAGAAAGAGTTCACAAAAAGTATATAAAAATTAAACACCTAACCCAAAAAGTAAGCAGACAGCTGCAGAGTGAATACATAAACAAAGTAATATCTAAAGATAACAACAAAAACCTATGGTCATACATTAAGTCTAAGAAAATGGAAACAACAGGCATAGCGCCATTAAAAGATGAACATAACATAATACATAATGATAATGAAACTAAAGCAAACATCCTAAACAAATACTTTGCATCAGCATTCTCAGCCCCAGGAGACAAAGACATATTTCTTAATTTGAACCAAGTAGACAACATAGAAGATTTAGTAGTACAAGAAAATGGAATTCAAAAACTATTATCCAACACCAAACCAAATAAAGCATCTGGACCTGATGGTATTCCAGCTAGATTACTCAAAGAACTAAGCAATGAGCTAGCCCCAGTGTTCAAAATACTCTTTCAGGCTTCGTTTAACCAGGGCAGAGTACCAAAGGACTGGAAAGAAGCTAATGTCACCCCCCTATTTAAAAAAGGAGAAAAATCTGACCCAGGAAACTACAGACCAGTATCACTAACCAGCATCACATGTAAAATCCTAGAACACATATGTAGCAACATCATAAACCACTTAGACAAACATAATGTTATCACCCCATACCAACATGGCTTTAGGAAATACAGATCATGTGAAACACAACTAATAGGACTAATTTACGATTTTTCAAAAGGTTTAGATAATAGTGAACAAATAGATGCTATTTTACTAGATTTTTCCAAGGCTTTTGACAAAGTTCACCACCATAGTTTGCTTAAAAAATTAAAATATTTCGGCATTAATGGTCCACTGCATCAGTGGATTAAAGATTTTCTGATAGGGAGAGAACAAACTGTAATAATAAATGGCTCTAAATCAACACCAATAACAGTAAACTCAGGTGTACCTCAAGGAACAGTCTTGGGTCCACTACTATTTTTAATTTACATAAATGATTTACCAAAATTGCATTAGTTCAGGAACAAAAGTCAGATTATTTGCAGATGATTGCATAATATATAGAACAATAAAAACAACACAAGACACGGATATTTTACAAAGAGAATTAGATGAATTACAGAAATGGGAATCAAATTGGAGCATGTATTTCCACCCAGAAAAATGTCAGTTGTTAAGAGTAACAAAAAAACTAAAACAAATTAATTCCACTTATCTTATTCATGGCAAACCAGTAACACAGACTAAAAACGCAAAATACCTAGGTGTTATAATAAATGAAAAACTGTCATGGAATCCACATATTGATGAAACTACAAAAAAATCCAACAAAGCATTAGGGTTTATTAAAGAAATTTCTATAAATCAAATAAGAACATAAAACTAAAATGTTATTTAACCTTGGTTAGGCCAATAATAGAATATGCATCCACCGTTTGGGACCCCTCAACTCAAGAAAACATTAAGAAACTGGAACAAACACAAAATAGAGCAGTGAGATTCATAACAAACGAATATTCACATTTGACTAGAGTAACACCATTAGTAAAATCACTAAATTTAGAAAGCCTTCAGGACAGAAGACTCAAAAGTAAAGTAGCAATTATACATAAAACACTGAACCATAATCTTCAAATACAAAAACAAAACTTAATAAAATACTCTGAAAGACACAAAAATAAAGGCACATTCCTCGTCCCTTATGCTAGGACAAAATTGTACAAATACTCCTTCTTCCCTAGTGCTATTAGAGCATGGAATGGGTTGCCTGAGCTAGCCAGAAAAAACAGTGACTTGGCAGAATTTAAGTCATTGGTTAATATGCATGACTAAATGCATGACGCGTAGGACGTAATCATCTTCTTTTTTGAAGTAACGTCTGTATTATATAAGATAAGATAAGAAGAAGTTCCTTCAGAGCTGAAGATAATTACTTCCTAGTCCAAACCTCCCGCAGGACGACGGGGGATGAACCCGGGACCATCGATAAGTCCGAACGACAGTCCAGCGCGCAAACAGCACGACCAGGCAGCCATTCATAAAATATGTCTAGTCAAAATTAATTTTACGATAATGAAACATTTTCAAACCAATATAGGCCTAATAGTTGCAATGTGGCCAATGAGTTAAGGTTTTTGTCTCAATTTTATACACGTAGGCCTACCTTGAAATTAAAAAAAAATCGTTAGAGCCGTTTTCGAAATAAAAAATTTATATAGGCCTATAAATAAAAAAATAAATATATATATATATACTACTTAAGATTACGCCCTATAGGATTGTGTCTAGATTGATATCTTAAGAAATAAAAGGCTATTGCTGGCACTTCATGTTTATGATAGATACACCTGGGTTGTCTCTGTCATCTAGATATCTAGTCTGCATATGATAATAAGCATGGAATTCTGAGTTCTACTTTTTACAATACTATCATCCACCTATTTTGATAAGTACATCTCCTTCATTATATTTTGCTAAATGAGTTATTAAGAAAATAAAATGAGTGTTACTTGTGCTCCATCCGGCTGACGATTTACATGCAAACATTCAGTTGATTATTTAAATGCAAACATTCGATCAGCAGATGATTTACAAGCAAACATTCAATCAGCTGATGAATGACATGCATACATTCGATCAGCTGATGATTTACATGCAAACATTCGATCAGCTGATGATTCACAAACAAACATTCAATCAACTGATGATTTACATGCAAACATTCAATCAGCTTATTATTTAAATGCAAACATTCGATCAGCAGATGATTTACAAGCAAACATTCAATCAGCTGATGAATGACATGCATACATTTGATCAGCTGATGATTTACAAGCAAACATTCAATCAGCTGATGATTTACATGCATACATTCAATCAGTTGATGATTTACATGCATACATTCAATCAACTGATGATTCACATACATACATTCAATCAGCTGATGATTTACATGCATACATTCAATTAGCTGATTATTTACATATAAACATTAAATCAGCTGATGAGTTGCATGCATACATTCCATCAGCTGATGATTAACATACAAACATTCACTCAGCTGATGAGTTACATGCATACATTTGATCAGCTGATGAGTTACATGCATACATTCGATCAGCTGATGAGTTACAAGCATAAATTCAATCAACTGATGATTTACATGCATACATTCCATCAGCTGATGATTAACATACAAACATTCACTCAGCTGATGAGTTACATGCATACATTCGATCAGCTGATGAGTTACATGCATACATTCGATCAGCTGATGAGTTACAAGCATAAATTCAATCAACTGATGATTTACATGCATACATTCCATCAGCTGATGATTAACATACAAACATTCACTCAGCTGATTATTTACATGCATACATTCGAATTCGATCAGCTGATGATTTACATGCATACATTAAATAAACTGATGACATACATGCATACATTTGATCAGCTGATGAGTTACATGCATACATTCGATCAGCTGATGATTTACATGCAAACATTCCACCAGCTGGTGATGCAAGCATTCTACCAATTTTCTGTTTATCTTATAAATTACAGACGTTACTTCAAAAGAGGTGACAATAACGTCCATTGCCTTTCCATGTGTCAATCTAGTCATGCACGTTAAAATATGCTAAGTTGTTTTTTTTCTGGCTGATTCAAGCAACCCATTCCATGCTTTATTTAATGATATCTATTCGGTGTCTTCCAGATGTTGATATACATGCAACCATTCTATAACCCCAAGTCTTTTTTTTTTTGGCATATACAGTACTAGTAGTGGATCTATGACATTTTAAAAAATATGAACTCATCTGCTTTATGGCTTGTTACTTTTAATGAATTTATTGTTCTCATTATCTCTATGAATTGTAAGGTTATTGTTCTAAACAACTCTAAAGCTTATCAAATTTTTATCTTCATTAAAACGTAGTCTGTTGTACAGTTGGGCAACACACAAGATTTTTCGACCGCCTTTCTCCATTCCTGTCTTTATCCTTGGATACAACCCCTTTCAACGGCAGGCTAGTCCATTCTTTTTAGTTGTCTACCCATCGCTTTCTGTCTGCCTCTTCTTCTTTTTCCTAGTACTGTTTCCTGAAGGAAGGTTCTTTGCGAGCCTCGAAGACCTTGTAATATGGCCATAGAGTTTTTTTTTACAATAGTTAGTAGGTTATCGTGGGGTCTAATCGCTGTAGTAACCCTGTTTCTAATCTTTTCTTTTGTGATAGTCTTAAATGTGATACCTCATTCTGCAGAATCTCTATACAGTTGCTAGGATCCTCAGTTTTACTGATGCTTATTAAGGCGATGTGATCAACATATTGGGTGTAAGACAGTTTGAATATTCTAAAAATTTTTTTAAAACTTTTAATGCACAAATAATCTGATCAGATATGTTGACAAATTGAAAGAATCTGTCTCAGAATATTAGGCTTGGCAATTTATAAAAAACTTTGTAATGTCAAGATACCCGGTAATGTTTAATACAAATGATCTTCATTGAAGTTGTATAGAACTGATAACCAACAACACAAGACACAGATATTTTACAAAGAGAATTAGATGAATTACAGAAATGGGAATCAAATTGGAGCATGTATTTCCACCCAGAAAAATGTCAGCTGTTAAGAGTAACAAAAAAACTAAAACAAATTAATTCCACTTATCTTATTCATGGTTAACCAGTAACACAGACTTAAAACGCAAAATACCTAGGTGTTATAATAAATGAAAAACTGTCATGGAATCCACATATTGATGAAACTATAAAAAAATCAAACAAAGCCTTAGGATTTATTAAAAGAAATTTTTATAAATCAAATAAGAACATAAAACTAAAATGTTATTTAACCTTGGTTAGGCCAATAATAGAATACACATCCTCCGTTTGGGACCCCTCAACTCAAGATAACATTAAGAGACTGGAACAAACACAAAATAGAGCAGTGAGATTCATAACAAACGAATATTCACACTTAACCAGAGTAACACCATTAGTAAAATCACTAAATTTAGAAAGCCTTCAGGACAGAAGAATCAAAAGTATAGTAGCAACTATACATAAAACACTGAACCATAATCTTCAAATACAAAAACAAAATTTAATAAAATACTCTGAAAGACACAAAGATAAAGGCACATTCCTAGTCCCATATGCTAGGACAAATGTGTACAAATACTCCTTCTTCCCTAGTGCTGTTAGAGTATGGAATGGGTTGCCTGAGCTAGCCAGGAAAACCAGTGACTTGGCAGAATTTAAGCCATTGGTTAATATGCATGACTAAATGCATGATGCGTAGGACGTAATCATCTTCTTTTTTGAAGTAACATCTGTATTATATAAGATAAGATGTAATTATCTTCTTTTTTGAAGTAACGTCTGTATTATATAAGATAAGATATGAAGATACAACAAAATGAATTAGAGATGTCAGTTTCATTGTATTGGATTATCTATAGGTTTACAATGTATTCGTCATAGGGTATGTCATACAGAGATGTCAGTTTCATTGTATTGGATTATCTATAGGTTTACAATGTATTTCTCATAGGGTCAATGTCATGCAGGGCTCAAGTAGAGACTATTACAAACAATAATCTTTTTTGAAGGTGACAAATGCAAATTTACAAGACAATAGTCATGATAAGAACATGCATTAAAAAATAACCATTTTAAAATATTTGTTCTTATACATCACAGGGAATTGAAAGCTTCTGTTGTGAAGCCAGCTTGTTGTTCCTGGTGTACAATATCAAGCAGTGGATAAAGGCTATCACAAGTGGAACAAGTTCAATTGACCTCATTCACCAATTGTAAACAAACAACATTTTGTCACGTGATAAAACAACGGGAAAAAACTGTCATGTGACAACCATCATGAATTAAACATGAGATCGTAAATTATATAGAAGAGATAGAGTACCACTATGCTAAATGTTGTTTGTTTACGATTGGTGAATGAGGTCCATTGAGCAGGCACTGACATGAGATGCAAGAACATTAGAAATGTCTGTCTGAATAAAACAAACGAAATTATGTTTACAATATTTGATACAAAGAAAACAGGTCATTATGTGTTATACACAAGAATAGCTGTTGTTTTGTTTTACACATGTATCATGACAATGTGCTGTGTGTGTGTACTGACTGTATAGTGACAAGTGTGTTTTTTGTGTGTGTACTGACCAAAGTGGCCTGTAAATAGAGTCCATTGTTGACATGCTGACTGGACTGGTGATAAGAATAGTTTATCCAAAGATCTTAGTGTTTTAAACATGTAAACTTGTAACACTAAACAATTAGCTACATGCTGCTTTAAAATGTGGCCTTCTTATTTACTCACTTGATGTCTGATGCAGCATTCACTTATTTCTAATATAATTTTTTTTTCAAAGTACTTTACATGGATAACTTATCATTTTATTAACATTAATAAAGGTCAGTGCTTTTCAAACAAGTACCTTTTGGTGAGGATCAGTAAACTGAAATACCACTGGCAATGAGTAATATTTTCACCTTAATTCTTGTGAAGAAAAATCACTATAATAAAGAAGTACCTAAATGAAGACTGGGATTTTCAATTTTGGGATCTTTGGGCACCTCTGAGTCCACCCAGCTCTAACCTGACATTAGTTGGGGAAAAGTAAAGGTGATTGGTCATTGTGCTTGCCACATGATACCCTCGTTAATTGTGGGTCGCAGGAACAGATGATCTTTACATCATCTGCCCTATAAACCACAAGGTCTGAAAGGGGAACTTTACTTTGCTTTTACTACCTAGGTGTATAAATGTATAATGATTTAAAAGTCATGCCTGATTATCTGATGTTAGATTCTCACTCGCAAGAATAATTTTAAACAGGTTAACTTTATTCATGCACATAAAATTGTTAATACATTTTCCCTTGTAAAAATGTTTTACATGTTTCGGATGTTCCTTCAGACTTGAAGATAGTTTACTTCCTAGTCCAAACCTCCCGCAGGATGACGGGAGATGGGAGCGGGCAGGGTTTGAACCCGGGACCATCGATAGTCCAGAGCACAAACCACATGACCAGGCAGCCATCCGTGTGTTACGATTATTCCCTCTTACTCTTGTGTTAAGTGTGAAACATGTTTTTTTATTCATTAACAAAAGGGTCTTGAGATAAACATAGATGGAAAGATTGAGACATTGATTTGTGGAACATAAAGCACCACATGACTACCACTTAGCATGGCTTGGAGTACCACCAGTGGTATGATTACCACAGTTACCACTAAGCATAGCATGAAGTACCACCGGTGTTACCAGTTTGCATGGTTTGAGGTACCACCAGTGGTACAAGTACCAGTTTGAATAGCACTGACATAGGTTAATGTATCCTAAATATGACAGCAAATGAAACAAAATAGTTTTACAATCTAGACTCAAAAACTAATCGCAAACAAATGAATTTCATTTCAATTGTACTTGGCCTATATTTTTACATCTGGTCTGGTGACAATATTCTGTCAGAACAACAAAAAGAGTAGTATAATCTATGTACAACTGTATAGGAATCAGCTCAGCATTAAGGAAACAATGCTGCAAATACAGCAAAATAAAAACATACACAAATAAAGCAAAAAAATTCTTAAATTCTTTGATAAATAAACAAAACAATTAAAATTTCACGCAATTTTTTTGATGTCCCAGTTGTATAAATGAAACAAATAGTAACATTGTTACAATAAGACTATAAGGAAGTGTATTTTGATTGTAGGGGAACATGATCAAATAAAAACATGTGTACACTTAAAGCTCATATAGCTCAGGGTAAAACATTTGTGTACAGCTACAGTGGTGCCGTTTCAAAACAAATTTGACATTTTTTTAAATTCATAAAATGTTTAATACATTTATTTTAGTTCTGTGTGGTGAAACAAAATGGCAATGACATATATAAATTAAAAACATTAAAAACAAAAACAATTTTGACATTCCTCTGTATTTGATATGCTAAGTCAAATTAATGCTATTCTTTCAATTTTGGTAATAAAAACCTACAATTGTTAACATATATATATATAAAACATACATCAGGTTTTTTTTGTTCACTGTGGCTGTGCGCTATCAAAATATCACAATTTCGTTTTTCTATTTTGTCTTCCAATGTTGATGCTTTATCTCCAATGATCTCAGTTTATAAAAAGTATAGACTCACAGAAAAAAATAAATTCAAATGAATTTGTAGTTTTCAATATAAATATTCTTTGTGAAGTATTTATGAGGTTTGTTTCTGGGTTGTTAAAGCTATGAAGATCCCAGTAGGGCCAGAAGGGGAGATAAGCAGTTAAGAAGAAACTCTAAATCTAAGAGAGGAAAAAAAATCCACTGATGGGCTGAGAAGATTATTTAACCATCTTTAATATCCATGCAGCTATGTACCACTGCTGAAATTCAAGGCATGGGATTAAGTTACAACAGCTGTTGTAATCAATACAACAGAATTAAGGAACATTAATACTGGTATTTGAAATTAAAAGCAATCACTAAGACAAGTGGTGTATAGACAGCCTGTAAATATCTAGATAATAAAATAGAAGTTCAGGTGTGACTCATAAACTCCCTGTTCAAATTTCAGTAATTAAGTTAAAGTCGAGTTCTAACTTATAAACTACCTGTTTACATCTCATTAATAAATTATAAGTCCAGGTCTGACATGTATAAATCTCATTAATAAAATATGAATCTAGGTCTCACTTTAAAAATATTTTTCTAACTCTTACTAATCATCTATGTTGTTCTCATTAAGAATTTTTTCCAATGGTGCACATAATTCTTTGAGACCATAATTGCAGATGTAGTAACTTTACTTAAATTATTCTGTTACCCGTCAACCTTTTTTTGAACCAAAACATATACAACATGATGGAGCCAACAATGAAAACTTTTGAATAACAGCTTTCATATAAAAACTATAAAAAAAAAAAAAACATATAGAAAACTCACAAACTACTGGCAGTCTGGTGGTTTTAAAAATAAAATGCATACATGACCAATTGCAGTTTTGGAATATTTTGTAAACTCCCTCCTTCCCCCCCCCTCCAAAAAAAACAAACCAAAAAAAACAAAAAAACAACAGAAAAACATGTATAAAATCGCTAGGTGGATTGATCTTCTAAATCTTCCAATGCAACAAAAGTATACAAAACAGTGTTTAAAAATAAAAAGCACTCACATTATTACTTGATGCTGAATTGTTAGTTTTTGTAAAAAAAAAGAGATGATTATAAGTGGTAGGTGTTTGTAAACTACAAAACTTCATTGCTCTGTACACCAGTATCTACACATTTGGGATGATCATAAAAAAATAAATCACAGGCCAGTTTCTTACCGTACATAAATAAAAGAATAAACATTAAATATTCATATGCTATAAACCAAAAAAAATGTTCAAAAACTAGCTGTTAACAGATAATGTATGAATCTGACAAGATGGCTATCGTATCTGGGGACTAATTCAATGTATACCACCCCATCTGTCAAGTACTATTTCTTTCCCCTGATCAATATCAAACAAAAAATGTGAATAAACTTTTTACCAGACAGAGTTGATGTAAACCTGGTAACAAAATAGTTAATGACATATATTTTGTCTTAGATTTCCATTTGCTGCCTTGAAGGAATAAATATCACCACCAAAAGCTCACCTAGTGCTATCAAATAACTGAAACAGATCTGAATACTTAAGGCAAAAACCAATAGGCATATGACCCAAAGGCAGACCTTGAGCACAGTGACTAGATGATGTAGAGGCAGATCTACAACAGCTAGAGTCCGGGCATGGAGAAGTAAAGCACATGATAGATCAGAATGGAAAGATGTGCTAAATCAGGCCAGGGCCTTCCATGAGCTGTAATGCAACTGGGATGGATGAATGGATACTTAAAAGAGCAATGGCTGACATTCAACTAAGACTTGTCTGCTAGTTTGTGCTAGTCTACATCTTATACATAACAATTCTTGTCTGTTGTCAGGACATTCAACTAAGAATTGACTGCTAGTTTGTGCTAGTCTACATCTTATACATAACAATTCTTGTCTGTTGTCAGGACATTCAACTAAGACTTGACTGTTAGTTTGTGCTCATCTACATCTTAAACATAACAATGCTTGTCTGTTGTGAGGACATTCAACTAAGATTTGACTGTTAGTTTGTGCTCATCTACATCTTAAACATAACAATTCTTGTCTGTTGCCAGAACATTCAACTAAGACTTGACTGTTAGTTTGTGCTCATCTACATCTTAAACATAACAATTCTTGTCTGTTGCCAGAACATTCAACTAAGACTTGACTGTTAGTTTGTGCTGATCTACATCTTAAACATAACAATTCTTGTCTGTTGTCAGGACATTCAACTAAGACTTGACTGTTATTTTGTGTCCAGATCTTAAGGTACACAAAATAGGAATTTTTGTCTATTGTGAGGACATTTAACTTTTCTTCTAGTTTGTATCTAATCTACATCTTATGGTACATAAAATAAAAATTCTTGACTGCTGTGAGGACGTTTAACTAAGACTTGACAGCTAGTTTGTGTCTACATCTTATAGCACACAAAATAACAATTCTTGACTGCTGTGAGGACAACGTGATGTAACACATGAAAATAATGTTGCAAAGTGTTATAGTTTTAACCAGTAAAATCATTTACATTCACTTTTTCAAACCCGCCGGGCCCAGGAAAACTCTCTTTGAAACTCTAAAGAGAGTTCAAGAGAGCAGGCACACCTTAAAAAAATGAAGAAAAGACTTCTCTAGTTTTTTTTTTTGGCAGTGACAACATTTCATAGCTTGTCAGGATGAATGTGTTTAGGGAGACAATTATCTTAGAATTTATGAGAACAAGCAATGAACTGAATTAATGGTTTTCAACAATTCAACACTAGGACCTTTAGTAGTGAGTGAAGTAGAATAATGTGTTCCAAAAAATAATCAGTTTAGAGTCATGAATTAGATTGAAGAATTACCTAGTAAAACAATGAATTGAAACAATATGTTCATTACAATAATAGATTGTAAGAACCATTAGCTACAAAAATTAATTAGAAAGATGAGTTTAAAAAGCAACAACAAGCTATCACAATGAGATAATTGAAACTAAGCTCATTAGATCTATGAGTTAAGAAAAATAAATTGAAACTGTCTAAATAAAATATCTTGTTTGATCATTTCTGTTTGAAATAAATTCAATGACTCCTAAAAAAGATTCATTAGTTCTAAATCAAGTTACGAGTGCTGACACTTGTAACAAAAGTTTTCATTCAATAGTTCTAACAAGCTTAATTTAATTTTGTTTTCTCTACAAAATAAAAAAGATTAATGGGTCAAAGCATAAAAAAAAATATGAAGGGTTGTTAGTCAATCAATGATGTTAAAATGAAACATTTTTGTTTGTAATCAAATAAATATTTGTACTAACATTTATAGCATATATACATAATCATTTCAGGAAATGTGTTTTAGAGTCAGTCTGGGCTGGAGAGATGTTTTGTTTTTTCATCTTCTTTATCTTCCATACCTTTACCTTCTGGTTTCATTGCGTCTGTCCCTTTGTGACTGGAACCATGGTCATGTTCCTCT